GCCCTTTCACATGTACAAATAATGGAATACTTGTAGCTGATTTTTATTAATTATCGATTAGATATTTACCCTTGTATTACTGTAATTAAGCCGTGCAGAAGCGGCATAACACCTTTAAAATTTATTAACTGTTGAATATTTATAATTAATTTTAGCTTTTGAAAGTGATTAGGACCACAAACTTAGCAAATATTGAGGGAGGTCATGATTGGTACTTTTATAGGGAGTATTATACCAGTAAGTGTGTTACACAAGGAGTGTCAGAATTCAGAAATTCTTGTATTTACCCAGTGAGGGTGAAGGTAATACATGGATTCTTACATGAGCTTTGTAAAACAGAATATGTACTGTGTTTATCCACGTTTATCCATGTAATGCCAAGCACGGGTACTATCTTATTCAGTGTATTTTACCTTCCGCTGTCAGGGGTGCAATTGGTTAGCCTATTGGTCAAAGCGTTCGCTCGTCACGTCGAAGGCCCGGGTTCGATTCCCATCATGTGTTCAGTGAGTAAACCCTATTTCTGGTGTCCCGTGCCATGATACTCCAGGAATGCTGCTAAAAGCAGTGTAAATACATATTCACCCACTTACTCACTCCTTCTGCAGACGTCTATCCACTAGACCACTCAGGCAGTTGATTTCGTGTAGAAGGGGTCCCCAGCAACACATGCTTAATTTTAATTGTCCCCCGCCGCGCGAAAGCGCGAAGCAGGGGATATAGTATTCACGACCGTCCGTACGTCCGTCCGTCCGTACGTCCCACCTGTTTGTTGCCGCGATATCTCAAGAACTAAACACTGGATTGTCTTCATATTTGGAACTATGGTGTATATACAAATTCCGCAGACACCAGTCGGTTTTGGTGACCTTGACCCCATTTTCAAGGTCACAGCAGGCAAATCTGCTTTTGGAGTTGGAAAACAATGTTGCCGCAATATCTCAAGAACTAAGCACTGGATTGTCTTCATATTTGGAACTATGGTGTATATACAGACTCCGCAGACACCAGTCGGTTTTAGTGACCTTGATCCCATTTTCAAGGTCACAGCAGGCAAATCTGCTTTTGGAGTTGGAAAACGGTGTTGCCGCGATATCTCAAGAACTAAACACTGGATTGTCTTCATATTTGGAACTATGGTGTATATACAGACACCGCATATACCAGTCGGTTTTGGTGACCTTGACCCCATTTTCAAGGTCACAGCAGGCAAATCTGCTTTTGGAGTTGGAAAACAGTGTTGCCGCGATATCTCAAGAACTAATCGCTGGATTGTCTTCATATTTGGAACTATGGTGTATATACAGACACCGCATATACCAGTCGGTTTTGGTGACCTTGACCCCATTTTCAAGGTCACAGCAGGCAAATCTGTTTTTGGAGTTGGAAAACGGTGTTGCAGCAATATCTCAAGAACTAATCGCTGGATTGTCTTCATATTTGGTACTATGGTGTATATACAGGCGGGGGACATTTCGTCACTTTGTGACAAATACTTGTTGTCTTACTAGGTGACTTCATGGATCGGAGGTTCAACGTCATCCGACGTGCTGGATGTTTGCTTATAATATCCATCACTATTTTGCTCTCTGCCCATGTGGACCAACATTTTACTGCAAGAACCAGTAACAGCAAAGCTGACCATGCAGGTAATATTCCCATGATCGGATGGGGAGAATCGTAAAATGAGAGGCGACTAACGAGCCTCGGGTAGTCAGGTACGTTATTTGGTTGATTGCCAGACATCGTACATGTCGGCGTGGGACGTTGTTCATACTTAAACCAATCGTTTATCTACATGTATTTATATCGGGGTACATGACACACAATTAACGAAGTCACTATACAAGCATGCCCACCCGGTCCATGGATTGTGGTGCCCGTGAAGACCCGGGGTAGAATAGGTCTTTTCAGCAATCCATGCTTGCCCTAAAAGGCGACTATGCTTCTCGTAAAAGGCAACTAACGGGATCGGGTGGTCTGGCTCACTGACTTGGTTGATGCATGTCATCGTATCCCAAATGCATGGATCGATGCTCATGATGTCTATCACTGGATTGTCCGTGTTGTCTGGTCCAGACTCGATTATTTACAGACCGCCGTCATATAGCTGGAATATTGCTCAGTGCGGCGTTAAACAACCAACCAACCAACCATCGATTGTCGCCTAACGTGACAAGCGAAGCGGTGGGTATATTTTAAGCAATGCCCAACATAGACATAGACAATGCACTGTCCATGGATCCTCGTGATTTTAGGCTAGATATATAAATATATTATTTCGACATGCTTCAATATATCTTTCCTTTATTTCAAATTGAAGCTGCCTGGTTCCTAAAACACTATGGAGTAACTATATACTCCTTTCTGTTAGGTCTGGTTTACCGGTGCATGCATGCATGAGGAGTCATATCCGTCTTACCGCTTATATATGTTAGTTATACATTTATATTTATACATTTATTATAAATTTGCACACCATACTTCTGAGCTTGCATTACCTGCATCATGTATATGTGATAGGGTTAAGTTAAGGAGGTATTTGAGGTTACCACTAACTTGTATATGTGGGTAGAAAGCCATTCTGAAACAATCGTCAATATCCAGCTTAGATACTTCTTAGCATGTTTCAAAGCTTACATTGGTCTGCATCTACAGCATTCTGAAGTATGTATAATATAATACATCCGATACAAACCCTCTATCGTTATCTATCGATCTGAGTGATGTATAGTTTATATCCGATATACATACTCCCCCGCGTCTTTAATTTATAATGATGTCTGGTATACAACATCCCGCGTTTCATTCTGAGTAATGTATATTTTATGTCCGATGTACCTGTGTACTTCCCCGTAACTTTGTAAAGAAGAATTATAAAACACTTTCATCTTGTGTAATTTTCGCTTCAATCTTCTGGCAAACCATATACAGTTAACCCATCGAACTAATTAAAAGAAGTGGAAAGAGCTTGTCTAAATACAGAGGCAAGTGAAATAATTGTTTTGAAATTATATAAATATGATTTCTCACATCTACTCATGTGTGAATTACAAGGATTCCCTTCAGCACAGTTACATTAAATAAATTAATGAGGATACATGTTTTGCATTTCTATTCACATCGTGGGATTGGAGGAGACCGCACGTTAAATTGGCCCACAAACAACAGAATACGGAAAATTGTTTACAGTTACAAACAAAACAAAGTCTAAATGGAATGCATAATGTGTCGGGGCTCTTTTATTTAACGGCCACAATCCGAAATATTTCAGAAACCCCTCGAGTTACCGCTTTTACTTTTGTAATATGGCCGATTCCATTACATTCTATACACTATTGTGACCACAATGTGATGTAGAAACACATCCTTGATTTCAATTATTGATCTAATTATAACATAATTTGTTAAAAGAAATATCGCACAGACACTGTGAAATTTGTGCATAAATGTGAATTGCCGCACAGAAAGGCGTGTGAATATTTGTCAAGTACAAAATAACAAAATAATAATAATAACTAAAGATGTTTCCAATTTATAGTGAAGAATTTAATGTGCGTTATTTATTTGGAATGGGACATGGAAATATACAAAAGATCATATTCAGTACGGTGCCCCCCCAAAAATATAAACTAAATCATATTCCGGATATATATCGCCATGTGTTTTAGAACTAACCGAAAGCATTACCGCAGTAAATGGGGTTTTGCGAAATTGTGGACTGTTTATCCCAGTTCTGGTCGTATCCCAGTTCTGGTCGCTACACACGTGCATGCACGTCGCTATATAAGTGCAATAATCTTGGACGCGACGTTAAACCCAATTTCACCTCACCTCACCTTCGACCAGCGTAGGTTGCTGTGGACCATTTCTAAACCCAGGGGGTACCACTTTATATCAATGACAGTTTGCACAATATATATTTAGTGTTTTTATCCCTAGTCACAGCATAATGTCAAAGTAAATGTTTCAATCGTACATAGTCTCCCTCGAGAATAGGTCCGGCATTACAGCTGTCGGCGGCCCAAGCTTTTATCGAGGAAGAGGACGTGAACACGTCGACAGTTAAACCCGGATTACACAATCAGTGTGCGCTGTAACACTTATGTCCTGTCACGATAAGCGCCGACTGTCACGACCTCAAAGCTCTCGACTTTGTCAAACTGTTCCTAACACTACACTTACGTTGATTTGCATTTGTACTTCGCTGTGGGGAGTTGTATGTCTGAATTCTCCGTACGCATGCGTGTTTTGATGTAGAAATTGTCTTAGACATTCCTAACGACGTATTAATGTGGCCTTACATTGACGAGTTGTTAGGAATTTGATGCTGGCAAATTCTGACTGGAATTTCGGAAACCAAAGAATTCTTGAATTTAATGTTGGTTCCGATAGAAGTTTAAGTAAAGATCACTGACACTGAAATAAAATCCATAAATAAGCAGATTCTGCAAATTCATCAAATAAACCAGAGACCATATAATCTTTTATATGGTCTCTGAATAAACCAAAGACGTACATATCCAACATATCATTATATTCCTCTTTAAATGAAAGCATGTGAGATAATGACAAGAGATTGCCAGAAGTCAAAGTGAATGCATGGCTAAATATAGAGAGCGTCTGTTAACTCGCTTCACTTAGGATGCTTCTTCCAAAATATCTAAGTTGGGACCTCAGTGATCGAAATATGAGGTTAAAAACTGTTTTCTGTTTATTGATAAGTCAATCCGTGTTTCCACTGAGGATATATCGAGTTACTGACTCTTTTTGAATAAACTGGACTGAGATTATATAGAGTATTTTATTACTGATTGTCCATCAATAGCTCCATACGCTGAGCCTGCATTACACGTCCAGCAGCCTGAATCCCAACTGTTGTGGAATGGTAGGGAAATAGTATGTGGTCACTGTCATGGCGGATTAGGTGTTTATTATGTCAGCTGTTACATCGTTAAAAAGAAAATGTTGAATACACAAGGAATATGACGGTCAGAAATCAAACTTAGTTATTTCCCATATTTACAAAGATACATGAAAGTTATCATTACCGTCGAATATACTGTCCATATTTCATTCGCACCATACGAGTGTTAGCGTAGAACAAATGTTTCAAATAATATTCGAATTGTCTGAATTGCTAATTGTCACGGACGTCTTTGTGATTGAAAGAGATGTGTTATCGGACTTAAGTATATTTATGGCCCGTAATAAGCTGTAAGTTGTTATTTGAAATGTTTTTTGAGGTTTAACGAAACGCCGAGTCGGCCAATATACATTACAAAGACACCTTCCTACTCGAGCTACTGTCAAAATGACGAAATTTGAAATCTGTTGTCACACAGAAGTAAGTGTAACGAAGCTGTAAACCCGATATACACCCGACATAAACCCGATACTGACCAAACTCTGTAAACTCTGGCCAAACATAAATTACACCTGGCAGTGGAAGCCATGTATCAAAACTACTCTACTGTTGTGTGTAGCTGTGAATATATCGACACTGCTCTACTGTTGTGTGTAGCTTCGAATGTACCGACACTACTCTACTGTTGTGTGTAGCTGTGAATGTACCAACACTACTCTACTGTTGTGTGTAGCTGTGAATGTACCGACACTGCTCTACTGTTGTGTGTAACTGTGAATGTACCAATACTACTCTACTGTTGTGTGTAGCTTCGAATGTACCGACACTACTCTACTGTTGTGTGTAGCTGTGAATGTACCAACACTACTCTACTGTTGTGTGTAGCTGTGAATGTACCGACACTGCTCTACTGTTGTGTGTAGCTGTTAATGTACGAATACTACTCTACTGTTGTATGTAACTGTGAATGTATCGACACTGCTCTACTGTTGTGTGTAGCTGTGAATGTACAAATACTACTCTACTGTTGTGTGTAGCTGTGAATGTACCGACACTGCTCTACTGTTGTGTGTAGCTGTTAATGTACGAATACTACTCTACTGTTGTATGTAACTGTGAATGTACCGACACTGCTCTACTGTTGTGTGTAGCTGTGAATGTACGAATACTACTCTACTGTTGTGTGTAGCTGTGAATGTACGAATACTACTCTACTGTTGTGTGTAGCTGTGAATGTACGAATACTACTCTACTGTTGTGTGTAACTGTGAATGTACCAACACTGCTCTACTGTTGTGTGAAGCTGTGAATGTACCAACACTACTCTACTGTTGTGTGTAGCTGTGAATGTACCGACACTGCTCTACTGTTGTATGTAACTGTGAATGTATCGACACTGCTCTACTGTTGTATGTAACTGTGAATGTATCGACACTACTCTACTGTTGTATGTAACTGTGAATGTACCGACACTGCTCTACTGTTGTATGTAACTGTGAATGTACAAATACTACTCTACTGTTGTATGTAAATGTGAATGTACCAACACTACTCTACTGTTGTATGTAACTGTGAATGTACCGACACTGCTCTACTGTTGTATGTAACTGTGAATATATCGACACTGCTCTACTGTTGTATGTAACTGTGAATGTACCAACACTGCTCTACTGTTGTGTGTAGCTGTGAATGTACCGACACTGCTCTACTGTTGTGTGTAGCTGTGAATGTACGAATACTACTCTACTGTTGTATGTAACTGTGAATGTACCGACACTGCTCTACTGTTGTATGTAACTGTGAATGTACCAACACTGCTCTACTGTTGTGTGTAACTGTGAATGTATCGACACTGCTCTACTGTTGTGTGTAAATGTGAATGTACCGACACTGCTCTACTGTTGTGTGTAGCTGTGAATGTACCAACACTGCTCTACTGTTGTGTGTAACTGTGAATGTATTGACACTGCTCTACTGTTGTGTGTAGCTGTGAATGTATCGACACTGCTCTACTGTTGTGTGTAGCTGTGAATGTACTGACACTGCTCTACTGTTGTATGTAACTGTGAATGTACCAACACTGCTCTACTGTTGTGTGTAACTGTGAATGTACCAACACTGCTCTACTGTTGTGTGTAACTGTGAATGTATCGACACTGCTCTACTGTTGTGTGTAACTGTGAATGTATCGACACTGCTCTACTGTTGTGTGTAACTGTGAATGTATCGACACTGCTCTACTGTTGTATGTAACTGTGAATGTACCGACACTGCTCTACTGTTGTATGTAACTGTGAATGTACCGACACTGCTCTACTGTTGTGTGTAGCTGTGAATGTACGAATACTACTCTACTGTTGTATGTAGCTGTGAATGTATCGACACTGCTCTACTGTTGTGTGTAGCTGTGAATGTACTGACACTGCTCTACTGTTGTGTGTAGCTGTGAATGTACGAATACTACTCTACTGTTGTATATAACTGTGAATGTACCGACACTGCTCTACTGTTGTATGTAGCTGTGAATGTACCAACACTGCTCTACTGTTGTATGTAACTGTGAATGTACGAATACTACTCTACTGTTGTATGTAACTGTGAATGTACCGACACTGCTCTACTGTTGTATGTAACTGTGAATGTACCAACACTGCTCTACTGTTGTGTGTAACTGTGAATGTATCGACACTGCTCTACTGTTGTGTGTAAATGTGAATGTACCGACACTGCTCTACTGTTGTGTGTAGCTGTGAATGTACCAACACTGCTCTACTGTTGTGTGTAACTGTGAATGTATTGACACTGCTCTACTGTTGTGTGTAGCTGTGAATGTATCGACACTGCTCTACTGTTGTGTGTAGCTGTGAATGTACTGACACTGCTCTACTGTTGTATGTAACTGTGAATGTACCAACACTGCTCTACTGTTGTGTGTAACTGTGAATGTACCAACACTGCTCTACTGTTGTGTGTAACTGTGAATGTATCGACACTGCTCTACTGTTGTGTGTAACTGTGAATGTATCGACACTGCTCTACTGTTGTGTGTAACTGTGAATGTATCGACACTGCTCTACTGTTGTATGTAACTGTGAATGTACCGACACTGCTCTACTGTTGTATGTAACTGTGAATGTACCGACACTGCTCTACTGTTGTGTGTAGCTGTGAATGTACGAATACTACTCTACTGTTGTATGTAGCTGTGAATGTATCGACACTGCTCTACTGTTGTGTGTAGCTGTGAATGTACTGACACTGCTCTACTGTTGTGTGTAGCTGTGAATGTACGAATACTACTCTACTGTTGTATATAACTGTGAATGTACCGACACTGCTCTACTGTTGTATGTAGCTGTGAATGTACCAACACTGCTCTACTGTTGTATGTAACTGTGAATGTACCAACACTGCTCTACTGTTGTATGTAGCTGTGAATGTACCGACACTACTCTACTGTTGTGTGTAGCTGTGAATGTACCGACACTGCTCTACTGTTGTATGTAACTGTGAATGTACAAATACTACTCTACTGTTGTGTGTAGCTGTGAATGTACCAACACTACTCTACTGTTGTATGTAACTGTGAATGTACCAACACTACTCTACTGTTGTATGTAGCTGTGAATGTACCGACACTACTCTACTGTTGTATGTAACTGTGAATGTACCAACACTGCTCTACTGTTGTATGTAGCTGTGAATGTACCGACACTACTCTACTGTTGTATGTAACTGTGAATGTACCAACACTGCTCTACTGTTGTATGTAGCTGTGAATGTACCAACACTGCTCTACTGTTGTATGTAACTGTGAATGTATCAACACTGCTCTACTGTTGTGTGTAGCTGTGAATGTATCGACACTGCTCTACTGTTGTATGTAACTGTGAATGTACCGACACTGCTCTACTGTTGTGTGTAACTGTGAATGTACGAATACTACTCTACTGTTGTGTGTAGCTGTGAATGTACCCACACTACTTTACTGTTTTGTGTAGCTGTGAATGTACCGACACTGCTCTACTGTTGTATGTAGCTGTGAATGTACCAACACTACTCTACTGTTGTGTGTAACTGTGAATGTACCGATACTGCTCTACTGTTGTGTGTAACTGTGAATGTATCGAAACTGCTCTACTGTTGTATGTAACTGTGAATGTACGAATACTACTCTTCTGTTGTGTGTAGCTGTGGATGTACCGACACTGCTCTACTGTTGTGTGTAGCTGTGAATGTACTGACACTGCTCTACTGTTGTGTGTATCTGTGAATGTACCGACACTGCTCTACTGTTGTATGTAACTGTGAATGTATCGACACTACTCTACTGTTGTGTGTAGCTGGGAATGTACCGACACTGCTCTACTGTTGTGTGTAGCTGTGAATGTACTGACACTACTCTACTGTTGTGTGTAGCTGTGAATGTACTGACACTGCTCTACTGTTGTATGTAACTGTGAATGTACGAGTACTACTCTACTGTTGTGTGTAGCTGTGAATGTACGAATACTACTCTACCGTTGTATGTAACTGTGAATGTACCGACACTGCTCTACTGTTGTATGTAACTGTGAATGTACCAACACTGCTCTACTGTTGTGTGTAGCTGTGAATGTACCAACACTGCTCTACTGTTGTGTGTAGCTGTGAATGTACGAATACTACTCTACTGTTGTATGTAACTGTGAATGTACCGACACTGCTCTACTGTTGTATGTAGCTGTGAATGTATCGACACTGCTCTACTGTTGTGTGTAGCTGTGAATGTACGAATACTACTCTACTGTTGTGTGTAGCTGTGAATGTACTGACACTGCTCTACTGTTGTATGTAACTGTGAATGTACCAACACTGCTCTACTGTTGTATGTAACTGTGAATGTATCGACACTGCTCTACTGTTGTGTGTAGCTGTGAATGTACCGACACTGCTCTACTGTTGTGTGTAGCTGTGAATGTACCGACACTGCTCTACTGTTGTATGTAACTGTGAATGTATCGACACTACTCTACTGTTGTGTGTAGCTGTGAATGTACCGACACTGCTCTACTGTTGTGTGTAGCTGTGAATGTACCAACACTGCTCTACTGTTGTGTGTAGCTGTGAATGTACGAATACTACTCTACTGTTGTGTGTAGCTGTGAATGTACCAACACTGCTCTACTGTTGTATGTAACTGTGAATGTATCGACACTGCTCTACTGTTGTGTGTAGCTGTGAATGTACCGACACTGCTCTACTGTTGTGTGTAGCTGTGAATGTACCGACACTGCTCTACTGTTGTGTGTAGCTGTGAATGTATCGACACTGCTCTACTGTTGTATGTAACTGTGAATGTATCGACACTACTCTACTGTTGTATGTAACTGTGAATGTACCAACACTGCTCTACTGTTGTATGTAACTGTGAATGTATCGACACTACTCTACTGTTGTGTGTAGCTGGGAATGTACCAACACTGCTCTACTGTTGTGTG